TCCAACCACCAGATTCCGTTTTCGTGGACTATCTCCTGTCAGGGCTCTCCCAAGGCTTCAGGGTAGGGGTCCTCTCATCTCCACAGTTACTTTCGTAGCAAAAAACCTACAGTCAGCCGCTAAAGAACCCAACATAGTTTCCCAGCTCATCGACAAAGAACTCCACAAAGGATACATAATCGGCCCCTTTAGCTCCTCCCCCCTTCCCAGTGTTCCGTTCAAATCCCATAGGAATAGCCACACGCAAATACTCTGGAAAAAAAAGGCTGATTTTCGATCTGTCCGCTCCCCGTTCCGGCACATTTTGCAGCGTCAATAGTATCATCCCTCCAGAGCAGTTTTCCCTTCACTATGCCTCAGTGGACAATGCAATCAAATTGATTAAGTTCACAGGGCACGGAGCGTGGCTCTCCAAAGCGGACATTACCGATGCCTTCAAAATCATTCCCATTCATCCGTCTCAGTGGGAACTTGTTCGGCATTAAGTGGGAGTCCAAATTCTATTTCGCCGTTCGCCTGACCTTCGGGTGCAGAAGCAGCCCCTGCATCTTCAACTCCTTCTCGGAAGCGCTCTGCTGGATCCTGCTGAACATCGTCAGAATCCCCTCCGTCCTTCACCTACTGGACGACTTCCTCCTCATAGACCCGCCACAGGACAGCCTCAGGGACCTCACTGAGCAAACTGGAAACACTGCTTTCAGGAGCTAGGCGTCCCCCTCTCCAATGAAAAACGTTAGGTCCCAACACATGGCTTAGAGTTCTTAGGCATCACCCTTGACTCCATAGACATGAAGGCGTCTCTCCCCTCCGACAAATTGCAGCGCATTCGGGACATCACCAAATCATACTGCGAGCAACAAATCATTACAAAACAACAGCTGCTCTCCCTTCTAGGACACCTCAACTTCGCCATGCGAGTCATCCCCCAGGGGCGCTCGTTCATCTCCCGCCTCCTGGACACAGCATCAGCGGTCGACAATCTCCATGACCGCGTCCTCTTAGACGAAGGCTGCCGCTCAGACCTACGTTTCTGGTCTTTCCTGCTCGCCCACTGGAACGGAGTCACTTTCTTCTATGACGACCTTGTGTGTTCCTCCGATTCAATGAGGTTCTTCACGGATGCCGCCCCCATCCGTGGGTTTTGGGGGCTTCTTTCAGGGCGAGTGGTTCGCAGGGTCTTGGCCCCGTCATTCCCTAATCATGCCTCATCCTCCGCTCTGCACGAGATATTTCCGATCGCCGTTGCATGCCACGTATGGGGTCACCAGTGGTTCCGTAAACGCATCTCGGTGCTGTGCGATAACCAATCAGTGGTCGAAATCATCAATAAAGCGCGCTCCCAGTGTAGCGACATCATGCCATTCATGAGAAGCATCACGCGGGTCCTCCATTATCCACAACTTCATCATCCACAGCTCGTCACATTCCCGGTCACCTCATGTCATCGCTGACCTCCCTCTCTCGCTTTCATTTCCAGACATTCCGGAGCCTCTGCCCGGAAGCCAGCTCGCAACCAGTCGGAATCCCTCCACTTCATCTCCTCTCTCTGCACTAACCGAGAGTCCCCTAGCTCGGCACCTTGAGTCGGCCAGATTCTTCATGAGGAAAGGGCTTAGCGCTTCCCACCCTCAGAATCCTATGATTTCGCATGGAGAACGTTCGCTTTTTTCTGCCGCCTCAGTAGATGTCCCCCTCAAACCTGTCCTCATCTCCACCGTGTGCGCCTTTATGGGCTACTGCACCACCGATCGACACCTCAACCCCCTGTATATCCGGAGCCTCCTAGCAGGAATTCAATTCAACGTTCGATTGCTCTGATCCTAGCTTTCCCAGCCTACTCTCCAACCCTACCGTTTAAACTCATCCTTAAAGGGCTGTACAAGACGTTTCCCCCCCGCTGCAGACCCGAGGCTCCCCATCACGCTCCCTGTCCTGCGTCTCATGCTGTCCACCACTCAGGAAAGGATTATTCTCCCCCTATCTCGACGCACTGCTCGATGCCGTATTCCCTACTTGCCTTCTATGCGCTCTCCCGACCCGGCGAATTTACCACAGCTTCCCTCACGTTCGACCCCAGCCAAGACGTCTGCCTCTCCGACCTAGTCTTCAACACCAACCACTTTAGTCTCAGCCTCAAACACTCAAAATGCGGGGGAGCCTGCTCAGTCATCGCGGCTCGCATCAATTCCCCGTTCTGCCCTTTTAATTCCATGATTAAAATTCCTGCGCTGCAGACCCCCCCACCAATCCGTCCCTCACCACTTTTTCTCATCAAAGGAAATGCCCCCCTAACGCTGCGACTGTTCACTTTCTACCTCAAGCAAGTCCTCACTAAGTCCGGCATATCCCCTACATCCTACTCAGGACATTCCTTTAGGATAGGTGCAGCCACCTCGGCTTGCTAATCAAGGTCTCTCCAACCTCATCCCTTCAACAATTAGGACGGTGGTCCTCCTCCGCCTTCGCAACCTACATTCGCCCGGACATCAGCACCGTACTGCTTCCCAAAGATCTCTCGGACCCTAATTATGGTATTTATGCATATAACTGGTGGTGGCTCATAAACACATTCATAAGTATACATGTCTAACTAAGGTACCTGATATTCAAACTGCATTCCTGTCCTAGTCCGCGGGCCCCGCCCACAGGGAATAACTTCTCGTCTCACGCGCACCTCCACGTAACGGGCTCCATCTCCCGGACACAGGTATCCAAATCCCAGGCTCTCGCTCAAACGTGTCAGTGTAAAGATATATCCTATGAAGTCAGGCGTGGCGGAAGGCCACCGTACACCTCGGTGTCAGCTACAAAACAAAGGAAAGAGAAAGAAAAGATATATATATATATATAGCCCTGCGAAGTCAGGCGTGGCGGAAGGCCACCGTACACTTCGGTGTCAGTTACAAACAAAGGAAAGAAAAAGTATATATATATATATATATATATATAGCCTGCGAAGTCAGGCATGGCGGAAGGCCACCGTACACTTCGGTGTCATAGCGGAAGGCTACCGTACACTTCGGTGTCAGTTACAAAACAAAGAGTAAAGAAAAAAAGATACATATATATATATATATATAACCTGCGAAGTCAGGCGTGGCGGAAGGCCACCGTACACTTCGGTGTCAGTTACAAAACAAAGGAAAAAGAAATAAAGAAAACATATATATATATATATATATAGCCTGAGAAGTCAGGCGTGGCGGAAGGCCACCGTTACACTTCGGTGTCGTAGCGGAAGGCTACCGTACACTTCGGTGTCAGTTACAAACAAACAAAGGAAGAGTAAAGAAAGATATATATATATATATATATATATAACCTGCGAAGTCCGGCGTGGCGGAAGGCCACCGTACACTTCGGTGTCAGTTACAAACAAAGGAAAAAGAATAAAGAGAAATATATATATATATATATATATAGCCTGCGAAGTCAGGCGTGGCGGAAGGCCACCGTACACTTCGGTGTCGTAGCGGAAGGCTACCGTACACTTCGGTGTCGTGGACGTTGGGCCACCGTTACAAAACGAAACCGCTCGCTCCTCGGCGTAGTCAAGCCCCTGCTGGCCAGGCATGCGACCCGCAGGTCGTTTTCAGATAAGACCGGCACTGATTTCGGCAGTCAGAGTCTCAGCATGACCAGTAAGCTCCGGCAGTGATTCCGGCACAGTGTCGCTCATATACGTGTTAATCTATTATCTCTCCTCCCCAGATCACCAGTCACCCCACAAGGTAAGCAACTCAGTTCATCTCAGTATTCATACTTCACTGGTTTTGGGGATTTCATCGGAGCGGTGCTTTCCCCTCCTGAATGATTATCCTGCAAACCGTGGGCCTAATCGCCAAACACCATTACATTCTCCTGTTGTACTATCATGGCAATCATTTCATTCATATGACGTGTAAACAATAAATATGTAATTCTTACATCACGTCTCTCCGGGTTGAAATGAAAGCTTTAGCGCAAGTTCAATAAGGAAGACCTAACTCGAGTCACTCACACGTCACTCTATGGCTCCCTTCCCCCCTCATTAAATATGAGGGCGTCACGCCTCAGCAGCCAATCGCTGCACATGCTAAATGCCTTAAATACCTGCTCTTCCTCCCTGTCAGTTGTCATTGCAGATGATCACACGCAACCCGCCTCCACCCCTCTCGCCTCCGTCAGGACAAAGCTAAACCTTCCTCCTTCAGACCGGTCTCACCTACTCATCACCACCACCAGTGTCTAGACCCCGGGGATTTCATCGGAGCGGTGCTTTCCCTCCTGAATGATTATCCTGCAAACCGGGGGCCTAATCGCCAAACACCATTACATTCTCCTGTTGTACTATCATGGCAATCATTTCATTCATATGACGTGTAAACAATAAATATGTAATTCTTACATCACGTCTCTCCGGGTTGAACATAAATAAACACTGTGTTTACTTTTGTGCTTTCTTGCTTTCAAAGCTTCTTTATTATAATCTCCTTAATACCGTACATTTCTCCTAAACTCACCAAAAGTCAGCATCACATAAAGCCTCATTTGCATATGTAAACATAACTAATAATATAAATTATACAGAATTTAGTTTTTAAAGGTTTGTAATGTGATGTTGTGTAAAATACATATATTTTGATCAACACCTTCCTTCTGATTGGTCGAGGACTCCCTGCTCCAGAGCTTATTAAGTGTCTCTATAACCCAGATTAGTTTGCATGTAGTGATTGGTTGTCCAAACCAATTAAAGGTTCAGCTATTATTGAGATAATTAATGAGTTTAAGGTATTTTCTGGATATAAAGGCCAATAATGTAAAATCCTTAAAGTTACCACGATTTATAATGTTCAGATTTAGCACACGTTCATTTCCATTATTTCTTCTTTTCTATAATGACATGAAAACAAATTATTTAGATCCAGTGGTGAATAATACTGTGATTTCTAATAAGATATACCCTTAAAACCCTCTTTTAATCTTTAATTAAACAACAAAAGCACATAACACACTCAATGTGAACTCAACAGTCTTTTATTATGGTACACTATTAATCACTTGATGTTTGTCTTTACACATTAACACATTAATTTGTGTTCCAACCTTTTCATATTTGATTTAAAAATGCATTACATATAAAGATTTGAACGTTTCGATTGTTATAGCAATCAAAGAACAAATCAGAGATCTTGGTTCTGGACAATGTGTGACATTTGTTTAGTATTTGTTCAAACCACGCAAACCTAGAAATAACTGATATAACTATAAATCACACCAAACAAATACATCAGAAAGGGGACTGAAGATGAGCAAGGAGGTTTGGTAAATCTGCTGCTGTCCAGCCTCAGAAGGTCAGACTCTCTCATGCTAAACATCTCAGTTGATAGGTATTATCTAAAAAAGGAATCTATAAAATTGTACATTCAGCTTCCTCTCTGGCCTTCCATCCCGCCTCTTCTCTTATTATCCAACTCTCCCCCTCCATTTCTCTTTCACTAGCTTCTTTTAGATTTTGCATCCTCTCCATGTCATCTTTGGCTTCATTTAATTGTTTCTCATACTTTTTTGCCATTTCCTCTTCCTGTTTGCGTATTTCGTCTTCTTTCTGTTTAAGGATTCTCTGTTTCTCCTCTTCTATGGCCCTCTCTGCCTTCTGGAACATTTCAGTGGTGTAATGGCTTCCTCCGTTCTTCACTGCTATATTTCTGATCTTGTCGAGCAGCTCTCTGACCTGAGAACGATCCTCCTCCTCATTATTGAAGACGTGGTACTGCCCTTTACATCTGGCCACCAGTTCCCGCAGCTCTTCACTTTGCTCCAATAACTCTTCGATAGGTTTCCCTTTGAGCAGATCACCGTGGGTAAAGAGAACCATGCTGTATCTGTCGGCTTCCTTTCCAAAGATTTCCTGAATCTTCTGCACTGTCTGCTTTTCTTCCTCTGTGAATCTGCCCACTTTGATGACGATCAGGAAGACATGGGGTCCAGGAGAAGCAAATGAAATGCTCTTACAAATGTTCTTTCTGGTCGTCTTTTCATCAATCTTGGTGTCAAACAGACCAGGAGTGTCAATAACAGCAACTTTTTGTCCATCAACTTCACCACAGACCTTTTCACAGTTTACAGTCAAGGATTTAAAAGAGAACTCTGATTTAAAGAACTCTTTTCCCAGAATGGTGTTTCCTGTGGTGCTCTTCCCAGCTCCGGTCTTCCCCACCATCACAATCCGGAGTACATCGTTATTGTATGTGTTTGATTGGCAGGCTGAAAAAAAGAAGAATGAAGAAATATTTAGAAATCTCGGTATTTATAAAATGGTTCAACTACCAAATGAACAATGTTGACAGAGAGGGGAGTGGGATCAAGACAACCTGATCTCACCAGAATGCACCACGACTCCTTAACACCGCATTGCGTGGTGGAGTCACAAACTCTGCTACAGTTACGTGTCGGCACCACGCAAACAACCCCAATGTAAAGTGAATGAGGCTCCTTTGTCGTGGTGCACACACACATTTCTACAACGTCCTGCAGTGAGCTTTTATTCTATAAAACGTTTTTAAAATCTACTTTATAGCTTGTAGTAACTCACGGGAGGCTTCTTTTAATTTATTTGTATTCATAATAATTTTCATTTTTCGTCAGAATGTATTATGGCAACCCTGTCTCCTAAAAATTACGTTCCCACAGAACTAAACTGCATTCTCAATTACGTTTAGCTAGAAACTTAATTGATACGTTTGTTATGAACGTATCTTAAATACGTTTATTTTCTACATATCTTTGCCATTTATTGTCTTGCTTATAATAATGATAATAGTCATTTATAAATATCATTTTAGAGCACACCTTTGAAATCAGTAGGCGAGGCTGTAATTTCTCCAGCTGTTACTCTCATGAGCAGGCAGAAAATAATAGTTTTAACATGCCAAAAAGCTGCTGTGTCGTTTATTGCACCTCAAACATTAAAACAAATCCAGAGTTACGTGTTTCTGAACTTCCTCTAAGAACAAAGGACAGTAACAGAAGATCTCTGTGGCTTCAGGCTTGATCGCCGTTCAAATGACAGCGTTGGTTTCCCCAAAAGTGGGCGGGGCTGTAAAGTGACGTAGATTTTACACTCATATATTATTCAAAACCATTCTATTTATTCTAACGTAAATTACATGACAGTGTTTTATCTTTTTATTTATTTGTTTTTATCTTAAATCGTATAATGTCGGACTTCTTTTGCCGTCTGTGAGGAAAATAAATGGGGCTCAGAGCCTCAAAATACTGAAATCTGTATTTTTTGTAATCTTTTTTTCCTTCTAATTTGTTATTCTTTTCTGAATAACACACTGTTATTTACTCAACAATAACACACAATTATCCTTTTTTATTTATTTGTTTAATTCTATAATCTTGGGCTTTTTAGCCGTAAATAAAGTCACCGGAAACAGACGTAGGCCTCTAAGGGACATTTTGAGCGATACACATCACAAACCACCCACTGAAGAGATTACCAAAGATCCTCAGCTTGAAGCTCGTTGATTGGATGTTTTAGCCGCAATGTATGTTGGGATATGGTGTTAATGCGATATGATATCTGAAAACATTTTAAAATAATAAAATAATACTTTATTCCGAGTGTTCTTGCTTTTCTCTTTGGAGGTAATCACATAACGCCATTGTAATACACGGTTCGGCTGCATTAAATATTACATATCTGCCGTAGTTCTTTATTTATAGAGCCCTGCTGAGAAGACTTCTGGACAAACAGGAGAACTGAAAACTTGACGGCAAAACTGAATATGTGACGTGGATCATAAATATATCAACAATTAAACAACATCTTACATTTCTTTTCACACAATACGTCTCCTTGCAGTATCAATAGTAATTCAGCTGACTTTTATATTTGATCCAATTGGTAGATAGGTTATATTTACACCATAACGGTGCACAGCTGGTAGAAAAGGACTTGTAGTTGTTAAAGATAATACTGATTTTCTTTGAATATCAGAATGTAAATACTGAGTTGAGAGAATAGTTTGGGAATGTGGGTGATGGGAGACACATCTATGGAATCACAATTTCAATAGCTTACCATTAAATGACGGATACCTTTCTGTCTGTGATGTTTTACAAATCAGATATTAATGTGTAGAAGTAAAACATGAGAAATAGTATAGCAATATCCTGTAAAATTATGTAAAAACATGAATAAAACTACACATCTTCAGATGTTATACATACATACGTGTCCTACACTAATAATACAAAGCTATTATTAGTATGCTGTTTACCTTGTGTGCACCGCCTAGTGGTTAAAGCACGTTATTGAATTATTTTTGTTGAATAATGTTATTTTTGTTGAATAATGTTATTGATGAAAACAATATTAAGAGTACATACTTTCATAGGGGGAAAGTAGAAGGTCAATGATAGAAATATAGAATATAAAAAATCAAGAAGATACTGTAAGTGATCTCTACAATAAAACAGTTTAGTGCAGGATGTACAAAGATATTAATATGAGGATGTGCAAAACAGACAAACTAATTAACCTGTATTAACACATTAAAGAATACTTCAGGTTAAAGGTGGGGTAGGTAAGTTTGAGAAACCGGCTCGAGATACACTTTTTGTTATATTCCATGGAATGCTCTTAACACCCCGATAGCAATGAATATCTTAAATGCTTTGACAACAAATCCATAAAAAATGTTAATCTGTGGAAGCCGTAATACTGTAAAAAGTACAACCAATCCGTTTTGCCGCCCTGTCTGTCAGCCTTCCATCTCGTGCACGCACAAATGTATCTCGTGCCCTCATTGGGCATGCCGTCATTGGGCGTGCATTGCGCGTTCATGTGTGTTGGAGGAGGTGCTCTGTAAGGAAGTCTGAAGGAAGGGGCGGATTATTTTCGGCTGTGTACTTTCAAATTTTAGTGCACTCGAGCCGGTTTCTGAAACTTACCTACCCCACCTTTAAGGTCTTCTTTCAAATAAGAAAAAAGCTTTGGGGGTATTGTTAGAAATTAAAATCAATGTTTTGATGGCATGATGTACCTTAAATGTACCTTCAGTTTAAATGCTGTTTTATACTGAAAAACCAGAAAATTATTGAGCACAACCAGTTAAGCTTTTATTCTGAAAATCCTTCATCTCCGGTTAGCATGTGGCTAGTTTACCATTTCTTATAAAGGTTAATTTAGTAGCGAAATGACATGGAGTGATGCACACCGAAACCTACTGATTTTAACACTGCAACTATAGACGTATTATTATTGCTGAATATTAAATGAAGGTATAGTTTATTTGAATAAAGTTATTGTTTACAGACGTGGGTAAGATGTGACAACATCCGGAATGACCAGAAACCAAACCAGCCGTGAAGTATTTTCTGTATTTTTTAGAATATTAACCACAACGTTTAGAATGTGTTAAAGGAAAAGTGATGAAAGACAATATGAGGAGAAGAGGCGTGTTTAAGTATGTATTGAATGTACAATGCCTGAATCCTCTGTTTAAACGTAACAACGGACATTAAGATGTGGAGGGCCGGCCCGCAGGGAGGAGCCTGCAGAAGCTATATAACAGCAGCACCTGAGCGGTTCGGCCTCTTTTCTCTGCTAGCGAGGGCCAGAGACAGCTGCTTTTCTGTCGGACGATATCCTGTTTGTGACTGTACCGCGCCTTTTATTAATTAAAGTACCAATTTGAAAACATCTCAGAGACTCCATTTAGTCTCCTTTTTAAGCTTCTCTTTCCTGGACGCGAGAATAACCATCACAGTTAACAGTATCTAGCTACAGATAAATATTAAGCCTGACAAAGCCCTTGTGTTATGTTCACATTTCGCACCCTTTGGTAATGTTCGGGTCAAATTGACCCGGGACATATTTCAGGGTTTAAAAAAATACAGAACTAAATTCAACATGCACAATTCCTTATATATATTGTCTTTAACTAATTCCCCAACAATATAAATGAAATATGATTAGTTTTTGAAAATACTCTTTGCTGGATCAAATGTAACAATGGAAGTGTCCATCGTTTTTTGTGATAACAATTTAAGTTAAAAAAAATACACTAATAAAAACTAGGTTTACATTTTGCTCATGCTTTTCTCGGACAAATGTAAATGAAACATTTTTTCATTAATGTTTATTATTTTTAATCTGTCATATAATAATCAAAGCCCTGAAGGAAATAAAGCCATTTATCAGCAATTGGAACACAAGAACCACATCCAAAAGTATTTGGCTGTGAAATATTGTTAGGAACCTTGACCCAATAGCTTGGAGGACTCAAATGCACGACCCCAGAGACAAACAGGTTTTTGAAGAAAAAAATAGTCTTTACTTGCAAAAAAAACAAAATCACTCTTTTAGAGGAATGAACAAACTGACAAACGTAAAGCGCTCTCGTGGAGGGTAAAAGGCAAAACACTGACTTTCATTAAACAATGGCTTAGATCTTACTTCTTGGAGCAATGAACAAGACGAACCGACAACTAACAAGGGGAGACAGGACAATATATACATGAGGTAAGTGGGCACAGGTGGAAACAATCAGGGGCGGGGCAGACACTGATGATGGCGGGAAAAGGAACCAGAGCAGGAAGTAAAGGGACCTGGAATGAGACAAGGTGAGTACAAAATAAAACAGGAAGTGGAACATAAACTAAACTAACATGACAAAACTTAACATAATTAACGGGACACAACAAATATAGAGGGAATGAAACATCCATATAAATGACATAGAACAGATATAAACACAAAGCAAATAAAAACAATTAACAGTCACTATTCATAAAATACAGTATATCCGAAAACTATATTGATGAAGTGACAGAACATCATGTGAGTCAATGGGCAAGTCCGTTTAGGAAACACATGATGTACAGAACTTCTTTGTGTGTATAGCACAGATGTACTTGTTGCAGTTGCTGCATGTAGTCTGTGTCTTGGATTCCTTTGAGGGTCCACAGACCTCACAGCTGGCTGTGGGGGTCTTCTTGCGGCTGGCTGTGGGGGTCCTTCAGCGGCTAGCCGTGGGGGTCTTCCAGCAGCTGGCTCTGAGTCAAGTTCATCTTCCAATTTGCTGTCAAATTCTGAGTTTACCTCCACATCATCCTCATCTTCAGAAATGTCTTCCTGTTCCACTTCACCGTGTGCCTCTAATGCATTCCACTCACTCTCATCCATTATTAGCTCCAAGGCTCTGAGCAGAATATCTTTTGGCCATTTTGCTGGTAGATAATTGTAGTTCTGCACTACACTGTAATGTGAGGTTATGTCTCTGTTTAGTCCCTCCTCCGGCGTGCAGGTGCGAGGGAGACAGTGCGAGAACATTTAAAATGTTTATACATTTCTGGAAGATCTAAAATGTTTATAATGTTCTAGGATAGTTTGTGTACACCACTACAAAGCGTAAAGATCAAGGGAAAACAGGATCAAACAGCTTCTCTGTGCATACGATTGTGTGTGTGTGTGTGTGTGTGTGTGTGTGTGTGGTGTGTGTGTGTGTGTGTGTGTGTGTGTGTGTGTGTGTGTGTGTGTGTGTGTGTGTCTTTAGTTTCTGTGTTTCTGTGTGTTTTTCTCTGTCTGTCTGTCCTGGTATTGTATCCGGGTCAGATTGACCCGAACCTCTTATGAAGGACATAAATGCGGGTGGGCATTTTTTTCATAAGTGGAAAAAAATAAAACAATTCCACATGTCCTTCACTATAAATAAGCCCCGGCCATTGAGTTTCAGGTTGAACGAAAATATCCTTATATATTTTTGTATTCATTGAGAATGGAAATCGGGTCAATTTGACCCGAACACCACACAAGGGTTAACGTCTAATATATTGCTTTACTGCAATGTCAACTATGTTGAAGCACTTATTTTAACTGATATTATACACATTAATTATACTCTTATGTATGTAGATAGAATAAGAAATGTGCAGAATATGACAGTTTAATGGTGGAGGTACACACATATTGATAGATGTCTTGTAATGCACTGTTGAGGAACCTGTGACCCAAGTTTTTCATTAATTGCATAACTACACCGTAGTTGTGTATGTGATATGTCAATAAACCTTAGAAAATCTTGAAATCTTGAAAGGGATGTGCAAAATAGCCATAATATACAGTTTTTAATTAACTATTAGTAGAGAATAACGAGTAATTAATATACTTTATAGAGATCTGCAGATAAATGTTTAGTCTTCTCAAGCACCAACTATCAAATATCTCCTGATTGTTGACACTTGACAATCACCTTACCTGAATTTTACTCAGGTGTAACTAAAGTCTGCTTTAAGGGTTGTTTATATTTCACATAATTAATCAGAATCTGCAGAGTTACTAAAGTAAATGTAGTGGAGTAAAAATACCAGGTTAACCTCTGAATTGTAGTGGAGTAGAATATTAATGCTGCCCATTATGGATACAAGCGATTTTCACCCATATAGTAATTACATGTTTTAAATGTGTACACACCAATGTGTGCCTCTAACAATCAAATATCTCTCCTGATTGTTGGCACTTGACAATCACCTTCCCTGAATTTGACTCAGGTGTAACTAAAGTCTGCTTTAAGGGTCGTTTATATTACATTACATTACATTGCATGTAGCTAACGCTTTTATCCAAAGTGACTTACAGTAAGTACATTCGACCAGGAAGATACAACCTTGAAGAAAACAGAATCATATAAGTACATCAGGTTTTAGAGCAAAACATTTCAAGTGCTACTCAACTGGCTTTAGATAAGCCAGCCCTTTATTAGTATATAAGTGCTTTGTTAATAGTTCTATCGCTCGAAGTGGAGTCGAAAGAGATGAGTTTTCAGTCTGCGCGGGAAGGTGTGTAAGCTTTCTGCTGTCCTGATTTCAATGGGGAGCTCATTCCACCATCTTGGAGCCAGGATAGCAAACCCACGTGTTTTTGCTGATGGGAACTTGGGTCCCCCTCGCAGTGAGGGTGCAGCGAGCCATTTGGCTGATGCAGAGCGTAGTGCACGCGCTGGGGTGTACGCGCTGCGGTGTACGCGCTGGGGTGTACGGTTTAACCATGTCCTGGATGTAGGAAGGGCCAGATCCATTCGCAGCATGGTACGCAAGTACCATTGTTTTGAAGTGGATTCTAGCAGTTACTGGAAGCCAGTGAAGGGAGCGGAGGAGCGGAGGAGCGGTGTGGTGTGGGAACATTTTGGAAGGTTGAAGACCAGACGAGCCGCTGCATTCTGGATGAGCTGCAATTTCACATCATTAATCAGAATCTACAAAGTAACTAAAATAAATGTAGTGGAGTAAAAATACACTGAGCTGTCATGTGGGTATATATTAATGCTGCCCATTATGGATAAAAGCGATTTTCACCCATTTAGTACTTACATGTTTTACATGTGTACACACCAATGTGTTTCCTATGACCTAAACCTCCAGGGCTGTACACAGTTTAATACTGTCAACTTCTAATTTTGGGAAAAACAAAAACGTCTTTTAAAACTACAATTCCCAGTAGAGACGTGGCAAAGAGAACATGTTGCGAAACACAGTAGCCAGCATGTGTAGTTCTGGGGGGCGTTCGAGTCCAGTTTTGAATAGTCTGCCGTGGTTTCGTTCCATTTCAAACAGCTTGGCGTAACCTTGGCGCACTGCCACTCCAACATCCAATCCCAGAGCTTGAAGATTAATCACGGGGTTTGTCAACGGGAATGTAGTCCCAAACGATAGCTGGGGATTATGGGTAGAGTAGTGTCTTCGGCAATCCTAAACTGAATTGTTTTTCGGATATCCTATCGCATTAACAACACCACATCTGGCGTCACAGAGATCTTCTGTTACTGTCCTTTCTTCTTAGAGGAAGTACAGACACACGTAACTCTGGTTTTGTTTTAATATTTGAGGTGCAATAAACGACACAGCAGCTTTTTGGCATGTTAAAACTATTATTTTCTGCCTCGCTCATGAGAGTAACAGCTGGCGAAATTACAGCCTCGCCTACTGATTTCAAAGGTGTGCTCTAAAATGATATTTATAAATGACTATTATCATTATTATAAGCAAGACAATAAATGGCAAAGATATGTAGAAAATAAACGTCTTTAAGATACGTTCATAACAAACGTAACGTGGGAGAAAATAAGTTTCTAGCTAAACGTAATTGAGAATGCAGTTTAGTTCTGTGGGAACGTAATTTTTAGGAGACAGGGTTGCCATAATACATTCTGACAAAAAATAAAAATTATTATGAATACAAATAAAATAAAAAAAGTAGATTTAAAAACGTTTTATAGAATAAAAGCTCACTGCAGGACGTTGTAGAAATGCGTGTGTGCACCACGACGAAGGAGCCTCATTCACTTTACATTGGGGTTGTTTGCGTGGTGCAGACACGGAAATGTAGCAAAGTTCGTGACTCCACCACGCAATGCGGTGTTAAGGAGTCGTGGTGGAGTCACGCATTCTGGTGAGATCAGGTTCGATCAAGATGGTTTAATAATCTAAAATATGTGTAGATTCTAGGTTTAAATAATCTAGAACATCTCTAGAATCTGTCATTCTATTGATATTTTTCATTTATTCCTGTAGATGCTATTGGCACCATAGAAAGCGTTTATTAGGCGACTGGCAGGTTTGGTGATAAAGGTAGAGGGTCTGTCAATGTCAAGTGATGCACCTTGAAGGGACCTTATTTTTTCTTCACCGGAGCAAGAGAGAGGCACCATGATGAACACAAATACTCAAAATTAAAATCAAACTAAATGTTAATCTTGCCTGAATGTTTCACTTCTTAACTGCCTGAATACAACCTGAACCGACATGGTGCAGCAGTGGCCTCTAGCTGTACGTTTATTTTAATGAGAAAACATTTTTGACAGATAGTCACGACAACATTTTAGTTTCTATCTTTCATACTTCTACAAATTACCCCATTTTGGGCCTAAAAAAACTTTTAAGTATATAAGTTGCCTTTAGTTATAGTCATGAGCCCAAACAGACTTCGTACTGGCTACCCCTAAATATGTAGTCTTGTGAAGAATGTAATGCAAGCAAGTAAAAGCTGTGTCGCATTCGCAAAATCACCCAGGCTCTTAAAATGCTTGGAATATAAGAAATATTCATTTTGTATTAACTGTTTTGATCTGTTCATTATTAGGAAATATGACAAGCTACATATCCATCTATAAATATCTATTTAGATAAGTTGCAATCATCATTAACAATAAAGTTTATTCACTTACCATTTTGGGCATGTTTGCTGGCCATAGTTGGTTCTGGAGGGAGGAGCTGGTCTGCTGCTGAGCTGAAGAAGTGAAGTTAGTCTGCAGCAACAGCTCCTTAAATACAGACTTCATGAAGCAAACCACACCCACACACACTGACATCACAGTCTGAAGTTCAGCTACAGTGGGATGATTATTAGATTAAAAAGTATAACATCCTTCCCTTAATAAACAGAAGAAGGGGAAATACAGCCTCATGTGTTCAGATTTGTTTTAATTGAACAGATTATATATATTTTAGATATAAGCCCTCAATGCTCTTTACATATCAACATTCACCCGTTCACACCCATTCATAGAGGCAGAGGCTGCCATGCAAGGTGCTCAGGGAGACTAACATTCACACACACTCACACACATTAGCCATACCAATGTGTGGTTAAGTATCTTGCCCAAGGTCACATGGACATGTAGAGCTACATTTTATTTACAGTTTGAAGCACCTCCAGCAGTCTGCAGCTCTCAAAGTGTTTAAAAAGAAACATGGACAGTTAGCTTCAGCATTCAGCATAATAGTGATTTAATCTAATCTGGCTTCATATTATTAAAAGCAACACGAGAATCAACCCGACGCAGTCCACCATCGTTGTGGTTGTGAGCGGCTGGGAACACAACTGGGACTAACAAGGAGAACCAGTTCAGAACCAGAAAAGTACGGAGCTAGAACCAAACTGGTTTGGTGGGAAGGGGCATGGATGTGTTTAAACTGCCATTTCTTTCCCTGTTAGGTTTTCACATTCATGTTATATGATTTTATTGTACCTCTTATTCAGGGTCTGATTGACACCCTTACTTTTCCCACCTGCTTGCTTCACTCACCGTAACAACATTTCCCATTAGAATGTATTTTCCTTTCACTTTTAGATAACTGCCCTCAGTTAACCCTGCTCCCTCCTCCCTTCAGCATTTACAAGAAATGCTCTCAGTTCTTCTAAATCCCACAACAAGCCTTGGCAGGGGGGGGGGGGGGGGTGGTAGTGGATCGCCGGAGCTGTATTAGATTAACATTAACATGCTTATTGTAGTGGTAAATGCAATGTCTTGCAGCCTGTAGCACCATCCTTGATGGAGCATATGTGTGGGCTGGACCTGTATTTTACAGGAAAGGAGTGAGCAGAGGGTCGAGTTGTCGATTCTTGTTCTGTTTTATGTGACTATCTGCCTCACCCTCTCAGACTTTCAGTTGCGCACGTTACTAAAGAGACGCGCTACCATGACAACCAAACAATGGTGTAGCTGTATTAAAGTCCGAGTGGAAACAGTCCTGAGTAAATCTGATTTGGTCAGAAATCGGGAGAAATGCGGGAGAAATATGACCCCGGGAGGAAACCGGGAGAGGGCAGTGAAATCGGGAGTCTCCCGCGAAAATCGGGAGGGTTGGCAAGTATGGTGTACGGTGCAAGGGATTCATTTTAAGTTCTGATTCCCATAAGGCTGTTCCCTATGGAGCTCTTCCCAGCTTCAGTCTTCCCCTCCATCACAATCCTGAGCCCCTCGTCATTGTATTTGATATCTGAAATGTCAATGAACAAATGGGATTTATTTTCAGATACTGACACAGAGTCCAGATTAATGCGATTTTAGATGCTACTTTTATCTGACTATTTATAGTTTGACTCCAGCTCCTTCAGCAGCTGTTGTGTTGGACTGATCCACACTGTTACAGCAGCCTGAACTTTGTCAAAGTGTTTTCAAAAGAAACATTGACAGGCTGATTCAGGATACAACTTAATAGTGATTCAACTGACCATGTTCATTTATTTACTGACATTTATTTCCCCTCTAGGCTTTCACGTTCATGTGATATGATTCTATTCAACCTCTTATTCAGGGACTGAAATGATTGACACCCTTAATGTCCTGAATGTATTTTCCTTTCACTTTTAGATAACTACCCTCAGTAAACCCTGCTCCCCCTCCCTTCAGCATTTACAAGAAATGCCCCCTGTTCTTCTAAATGCCACAAAGAAACTGTATTGAATGAAAATCATAAATAATATATGTTTTAAGACTGAGATATACTCAACATATGTAAGGTATCCTTGGGTGTTATGAAAGGCGCCCCCCAAAATAAATGTATTATTATTATTATTTGTGGAGTCAGGTGGTCCGTGAGTGTTTTTTATTGGTCAAGTGGTCCTTGGTATGAAAAAGTTTGAGAAACACTGCGCTAATGGATTGTCAAAGGGGGAGCCTCATTGCGGGGAAATTATACAGATGGCTAGTCCGCCCCTGAAGAATGTCTCTGCACACGTTATTATTAATAATAATTACAAAAAAATTGATATTTTTTATTTTCAATTTTGTAATCATCTCGCGACCCCCACTCGGGGTCTCACCCCCACTTTGGGAACCCCTGCACTAACCCCATTTTAAGGCCAATGTGCTGCATTCACACACAAACAAATTAAAGATCAATTTATATGAACACAATTATAAACTGACGAAATATTTCAACCAAATAAGAAGGGAAATGAAAGTAGACTGAAGACTAATAATAGTTTTCAAATAAGTCCTTGATCATCATATTACTGATGAAAACAATGCAAAATATGAATGCACAAATATTAAAAAAGACACCTGTGTCCCCGATAGATAAAGGATATAAAACATGCTGATCCTGACCTACCGTCTTTGTTAATAAAGCCTCCCATTATTGGATTGTAGAGAGCAGAGGTGCTGGTTTACAGTGAGGTAAAGACTGAGAGTTAAGAGACTGTTTGAAACAATTCCTTTTGTATGAGCTGCATGCAGCAAACCACACCCAATGCAGACTGGGTGTGTACGTGTTATTTTACAGGCTGTTTATCCATTGAGACTAAATCAAAAAGGTTCAGCAAACTCTGTCTTTGAGTGATGTTCTTTAATTTGTTTTAAATGCAGTGCTGTCTTTATATGTACAAGATAAATTACATGTTTTGATGAATGTAGTCTTCAGTGTTTCTAGTCATGTCAAGTCTTTTTTATTCATACATCCATACTTTGAAAATCACAAACTCTACCAACAGAACTTTTCATTCTTAGACCCTAAATTGTTATGAGTAAAAACTGCCCAAAAAACCTTAAATGGTGAAATAAATGTTTATAAACGTTGATGTGTTTACAGAAAGACCAACGATGCAAAATGACAGTATGGACAATCAGGATGACAAAGTTAAACATAGCAAACACTAAGAACTTCTCTACAAGTTGATATGTCGCTTTATTCAAAATGGTTTTAATGTAACCTACAACAGATCTACACAGCCTACACATAACACACAAGAACATTATTATTTTCGGATAGACATACCTACATAAAGTAGCATCAAAATGTAGCCGTTGCATTTATTCTGCATTTCACTTTACAATCTTTTACTTGTCGTGTTTTTTCTCAGCTCTTCAATGGTCATTGGAATTTGTTGATTCACGCCCTTTATTGTTCTGTTTTTAGCACAGCTTGAATATCCAGTCCACCTGCATGTTCAGTGTTCATTTATGGCGCATTTCCACTGCAACGGGGTAGCCCCGTTTAAGCGTCCCTAACGGCCCGTCTACACTACAGGCATCGAAAAAGCTTGAAGCTGGGCGTGTCTGAGGCTTGGCGATTTCTCACGCCCAAGGCGACCAACAACCAATCACATGAATCTCCCGCCCCCGACATACAAAGCAATAGCAATGTTAAAACGAAGTAAACTGGATATAAAATCCCCAAACAGGCGAAAACCTACCAGTTTCACCCACTGTCTCTGCCACCTCCCTCCATGCCTGGTTCCTCTGGTTTGTATCCCGGTAATAGTTCTGGTCGGAAAGAACCGGGTGATTTGCTACCGTAATTTCTCGTTTGGAATATGAGGAAATAAACTGCGGTCTGGCTCTCCCAGCTTGCACGCGGTTTGATTGGCTAGCGCTTGTACTGGCGGGAATTGCAAAAACGGGATTTGATTGGCTGACGCCAGCTTCGAGCAAGCATCGAGCCTCAAAAGTTGAACATTGTTCAACTTTTGACGCCGATTGACGCTTGCCATGCTTGCAACGCCTTGCCATGCTACCCACAATGCAGTTCGGCGAAGTTTGAAAATATCCTACGTCACCCCATTCAAATGAATGGGCGAAGCGTTGAAAGCATTTTTTGACGCCTGTAGTGTAGACGGGCCGTAAGCGTCCTCGCTCAGGCCTCGGGCTGCCTCGCTGGCCGTCCGAGGCCGTGGCACATTTCCATTACAGTTTAGGACCTGGGGTAGCAACGCAGTGTAGGCGGGGCGATCGGCTTCACATTTCGAGTTGTTCCGTCGAGCTCCTGCTGGATTTGATCATCCCCAATGAGATGTAGGAACGTCGTCACCTCCTCGGTCGACCACGGTGTGCTTTTCTTATTAGACGTAGCCATTTTTGTAGCTCCTCCGTTTACAAAATGCTGTTTATAAAAATGCTGCAAGCTTGCTTCTAGATATATATATGCGACGCTAGGGATGAACTCGCGCGCGATCTTGTGACGATTCTCTCTGACCAATCAGCAGTCGAGAGTGTTGACGTCACTAGTTCAGCCCTGGCCCTGGTCTGAGGGAACCACGATTTTATGGGGCCGGAAAAAGAGGGAAAAAGTACCCGCTAGCCGGTACTAGGCTATATGGAAACGCCACCAAAAACTGGCCTGGCCGCTTGAGGACGGTTAAGGACGCTTAAACGGGGCTACCCGCTGCAGTGGAAATGCGCCATTAGAGAACTATAAACAGCAAACCCAGTTCACCCTCTCATCAGCATTTACAAGAAAGGCCACCTGTTCTTTTAAAAGCCACCAATATAAAATGCATGTAGAGAGTCCAGCTAGCTCTTTGGATTTTTGCTCTTAGTTTATGTTCATGACATGATGGCAAATGTGCATGTGTACATATTATTCTGCACTTTTACGAGATTGTAAACCATCAAAACTGAACCAAATGTTTATTTAAGAAAACACTTGTTTCACCACTTTCACAATAAATTCAAAAAACTGTTTGAAAATTGAAGTGCTTCTCTCAGCTTCGTTTCTAGCGATTCTTTCCTGCATCTCTTCCAGTTGTTTCCTTGCCCCCTGCTTTTCTTTTTCCTGAGTTGCTATAATCCTGTTGAACTTCTCCCCTTCTGCCTTTGCTTCCCGGAGTTGTTGCTCATACTTTTCCGATATTTTCTTCTCCTGGTCCTCCTGCTGTTTGCGTATTTCCTCTTCTCTCTCTTTAAGGA